TTTCTATCGAGTTTTAGTATAAATCTACTAGCGTTCTATCACGAATGCCGTCCTCTGATTGGCTACGCTATTCACGTTCTATTCTGTAATAGATAGTGAGTAGCGTAGCAGCGTGCGCTGGGGACCGCTTCTTTGCGTTCTCGAAGTGTCTGTGAAGAGGATTTAGATGAAAGTTCTGTGCGACTAGTAGATTTATACCAAAACAATTAGATTATTCGCTATCGATTTCTCGATTTGATAATTGATGAGGGCGCAGCCCTCGTCAACTATCACGCGATAGAAATCTCGAGCTCATAATCTAATTGTTTAATAGAAACACGATTTTAAACCAATCAGCGCGCGTATTTTCTTTGGGCTGTTTTCTATTGATTGATATCGATTACATCGATTATCGGTTTTCATCAATTGGGCTCGCCGGGTGTCAACTCACGATCAAAGTACAAACATGTCATTCAAACTTAAACCGTTACCTATAATTTTAGTTCTGCAATAGTATGGACATGATGTCTACCAACTTTGACATATGCTTGATCTTTNGTCAACTCACGATCAAAGTACAAACATGTCATTCAAACTTAAACCGTTACCTATAATTTTAGTTCTGCAATAGTATGGACATGATGTCTACCAACTTTGACATATGCTTGATCTTTCTCTGGTATTTTTAAAACCAGTAATTTTTTTTCATTCCTGTCAGTTTTTCAGTAGAATTTTACAAACAACAAGAAGAACACGAACGCATTCGTTCGTTTGTTCGTGGCTTAGTAGCCAAGCATTTCAACAGGAGATGGAGTACTGGACACAAGTAGCTTTGAAGACTTTCTTTGACCACATGTAAACAGCGGAATACAGATTAATTCCCTACCGCGCGACGTTTAGCTGCTCTAGAATGAGCTAGAATGGTGACCTTAAACTGGCTAGAAAGATTTTTTAATGAAGGTTTAATGCAGTTTAGCAGCAAGAAATGTAACCTTGTGATTACAAACAAAAACGGCTCTTTTAGGAGCCACCAAACTTGTAAAAGCAGTGATCTATGCGTACGCTGATATTCTTTGTTTACTGATCTCCTTATTAGTTTGCTTTACCAACTTACAAATGTTCGAAGGAAAGTGTTTATGCAAATTAATGGCACGTTGTCCAGATTTTCTCGCAGATGAGCCGCATCCCCGATTTTTAAGGAAAATTTTGACTAAAAAGGTACGGTTTATCGGCCGGTGTTTACGGTATATATGTTGAAGATCAAAATGCTTTTAACCTAGTCTGATTCTCAATTTCCTTTTTCTCATGAATAATTAGAGTTAGGAGACAAACAAAATTCATTGTGACCCGAGTTTCATTTTGACATAGAATGTATACATGGCATACAGTTTGAGATACAGTTATTTAGAAGTGATGCAGCAATTTTTGGCAACAATTGAGAAATAGAGAGATTGTTACAAGCTTTCTTATCAATCTAAATACCTGTTGACATGTAGATTTGGACCTTGTGGGTAGGCTAGGAACATGGTCTTTGGTGTTTTATGATGTGGAGGAGGGGGTGGGGGTAGGGGAGAGTTGAGTTGGGTCTATTGGAATTTTCTACATCTAAATGCAATTTTGTTCCTCTGTCCCTTTTGTACTGCATTATGTATAACTATTCATCCCCCATGGAAAAAGCAAAGAAAAATAGTTAACATAAAATCAGTGGAGTTTGTTTCTTCACCTCTGTTCTTAAAGTTCTTACTGTTATTATTTGCTTGGGTGACCTTTCTTTTAAACCAGGAGTTGCCTCCCCTTCTCCTCCCTTGCTGTATTAAAATGGTCTCTTACCCATCAGAAGCAGCTTATGATTTGTGCAATAGTAATGGTATTAATAAAAAATACTGATAATAGTAGTGGCGATGGTGAT